TTCGTTGCATCGATCCGTGTTGCGTCTCTCGAACACTGAATTGAAATATTTACTCAAATCAAATCCAAAACGGCATTTCAATGAGATCAGACTAATCAAAAGGTGAATCAAAGATTGTTTCTTTCCAATTTCAAATAGCAACATCTCTCTGTATGTTCATGAAGTGTCTTTAAGAGGCTTGGAACACTACAAAATCAATTGTCTAAAGCACAGTTTACGATATTAGTTCAAGTGACATGGATTGAAGTTTCCCTCAATTGTCCTGGATGCATAAAACAAGTCTTGTCATCTTACGTTGTACATTTAAAAATTCTAGAGACCGGGCGGCCCACAAAACACAAAGTGGGCCACCCTGTATATCCCATATGGACTTGTTTTCTGTACAAGTCGCTTATGAATGAATCGAACAATATCACATGGAGGATGCCACAGAAACATACTAGCGGTGCCCTACTTAATATCTATGTATATGTAAATATATTCGTTGTTCTTTGCCGATGCTTAGCCACGGTGTCTTCAAAATTGCACTTAAAAAAGCGAATTTCCTGAGAGCGTGTAGAAAATATCCAGACATCTGCCCATCATCCACGTCTTAGGCGACCGAGCTGGGCGATGCGATGCTGAAAGTGGCCAAGCGATGCGAGCGAGTCCGAGCGAGTGTGCATGTAAAGGGTGTTGCAATAAGAACGACGATTTCGAATTGCTGCAATAAGAATGACGCTCCATTTGTAGCGTCATGATTTGATATTAAAAAGAAAAGGCTGTTCGTTGGTGGACAGCAAGAGGTTAAGTAAAATGGAGCGGTTCAATACACAACAACGAATTCTCAATGTGGAAAATGATTAACAAAGTGGTGGAAGTTTTGCAGCCACAGTTCGCAAAATACGCACATTTATGGGCCATCAGAATGCTCCAACTGGAGCCACTATGAGAACGTTAATGAAGAAATTTCAGCAAACTGCGGCTGCTAATGAAGTGAAAACAGGAACACGCGTTTGTCCTGGTCGTTCAACTGAAAATATCGCAGCAGAACGTGCAAATGTTGAGGATAGCCCAACCACATCAACTCGGCATAGAGCTCAGGAAATTGCTGTTTCCACATCCACTATCCATCGAAATTTAAAAAAAGATTTGAAGATTCTTGCGTACAAAGTTGACTTGGCTCATGAGGTAAAGCCGGAAGTCCATGGGCAACGAAGAGCGTTTGTTGATTGGATTCTGGAACAACGACAATTGGACGGTGATTTTTCAACAAAAATCATCTTTGGTGGCGAGGCCCATTTTCATCTTGATGGCTTCGATAAAGGACAAAATTGTTGAATTTGGTTTCAGCAGCACGGTGCAACATGCCATACAGTCAGAGAAACTGTTGAATTACTACACGAGTCATTTTCTGGTCGTGTTATTTCTCGTTTTGGAGATCGGCATAGGCCGCCCGGATCATACGATTTAACGCCTTTGGACGTTTTTCTTGGGGTTTTTTTAAAGTCACAAGTTTATGTTAACAAACCAACAACGATTGAAGCCTTAAAAGATTAAATTCAACGCTGTACCTCTGAAATATTGCAAAATTTAGGCGCAACAGTGCTTGAAAATTTCATAAAAAGAGCACGTCTGTGCCAGCCAACATAAGGTGGTCATTTGTCCGATGGCTTATTCCATTCAGAACCTTATGATGTGTACTTTATTTTTCAATAAATGTTTGAAACTTTTGCCTCAAATATACATACTTATATTGTTTTATTTAAAATTTACATCCGTCGTTCCTATTGAAACCCTTTAGAATGCGATTTTTTTGTGCTTTCAGTTGTGTCTTGGGAAGTCAAAGCTCGTGTTTTCCATAGATTTTCTGGTTATTTGGGCCCCGGTAATCGGAAGAGTGAAAAAAGTTGAAACAAAGAGATGATCATATGGTATTAATCTAGCTCTTCGCAACTGAAAAAATCCTGGAAACTCCCAGAAATTTCCTATTAAAGTGAGTTTTTCCCAGTTAGAGAGATTTTTGGATTTTACATGTAAAATTTTTGATAAATTCGTGTTTTCGAACCGCGAATCGCTCGCGTTAGTAACTGAAAAAATACTAACTCTCAGAAATTTCCTGTTAAAGTTGGTTTTTTTCTCAATTGAATCGGTCGATTTTCTGGTTCGAGTGATGTTATGCGCAGTATTCAGGAATCTTTGGTTTTTCCTTTGCGAATTTTTTAAAAACCCGCGTTGTCCAACGAACAATCGCTTCGATTTAGCATCTGAAAACGGAATTCGGAAATTCCCTATGAGATTGAGGTTTTCCTCATTAAAAGTCGAAGATTTTCTCTTTTGTGTGATGTTCTGTGACGGCTTGAGAAAATTTTGGTTTTGCCTTGGAAAAAATAATGAAAAATTCAATCAAAATCATGTAAGCCAGGATCAGTAGGAGTGAAAAAACTCGCTGTGATCGTCGACAAAACACAAACTATTTTGTCTTCAATCGCATCGCTACCGTACAAAACCATACATTTATGTCTTCCGCGTTTATCGCGTTGAGTCGCATCGCCCAGCTAGGCCAAGAGAGTGCACGTACCCTTCAACTAGGCTAAAAAGAGAAAACGGTTCTAAACTATGTTCGTTGCTTGCTGTCTTTTTCGTCCTCCTCCTCCTCCTCCTTCTTAAAACGCTCTATTATTGCTTTCGGTTGAACGGGGGAGC